AATTAGCCTGTGAATTAAAATGACGGACAAAACCGTAACTACCAGGGTTCATCCGTTGGATAGACTATACCTATACAGGGTGGCGCCTCTCATACGACGCCGACGCGGAGACTGTAAAGAGAACAACAGCTTGTAATGAAATTAAATTTTATGAGTATATGTAGGTAAATCGAGAGCATTTTTTAAAAATATAGAGAGTTCTATAGGGCGTCCCCAAAAAAAGTTACATATCAAAGTTGTGTTTTTTTGTAATGGAACACCCTACATATTAATTGATTTTCGGTTTCTAGGAAAAAAATAAAGGTGGGTTTCATTAGAGAAGTATATGGCTAAAATGTAAGGTTGTTGACATATTTAACAATTTTTAAAAAAGAAGAACAAATTTTAAATTTCAATTAATGCTACCTAAATTATAATTTATCCGGTATAGCGTAGTATGTAGTTTTGTTTTGGTTTGGTTTTAAAAAGATACAACGGTAATAAAAAGTTACACGTTTTACTTAAACCAACAATTCTATTAACAACCTTAATAGTATTTTGAAGAGATATTTTCCCCATTGAATATCGGAATAATATACTGGGTGTTCCATTTAAAATAAAAGAGTAACTTGCTGTTAAATGTGACCAATGTTCAATATTAATTTTGTCTCACCCTGTATAACTTTTTGGGTCAAGTTTTAATTTCATTTAGAGTACAATGGTTATTTTAATTACATATTAGGCTATACCGGGTAAATTCCAATTTAGGTAGCTTTCACTGAAATTTAAAATTTGTTTTTCATTTTTAAAAAAATACAAAAATTACAAGTTTAATATTATGTAACTTTTTTGGGGATTCCCTATAGATCTCTCTATATTTTTAAAAAATGTTCTAAATCAACTTACAAATACTCACAAAATTTAATTTCATTACAGCAGCCATGCAACCTCCGCGTCGCGTCGTATGAGAGACGCCATCCTATACAGTTATAATCAGGGTTGGAAAAAATCATGATTTAAAAAAATAAATAAAAAAAATCAGATTTTTTTTATTTAAATCAGATTTTTTGATTTTAATTCAAAACAATATTTAAATCGGATTTGCACATGACTAGGACTTATTTCCAATTAAAGTCCTATCCTAAATGACTAAATCTATCTAGATTAACATTAACAGTTCTACGGGGCGTGTGATTTTTCCACATATATTCCACCAATATACTCGGCAAAAAAAGTCGTTCGCTTCAGATCAAAAAATTTATTTTCAAACGTCTCAAAAGTATTAATTTTTTGTCATTTTAACGCCTAGGCATAAAAGTAAAGCACTGTTATGCCTAAGCACAAAAGTACAAAAATATATTATTAAACTGATATTAAGTGTCAAATTCAACGAGTGTACAAATTATTGTTCGATTACTGTTTATATTATTTGCAATGTGTGAAATTGATTAAAAAATTATTTGTAATGTTTAAAAAAAATAGTATGTTCTATTCGGAGTAAAAATGTACTTTTTGTGCCTCCCTGTAACGTCGGAATAGCTTTACGATGGTCCTTCAAATGTACAGCATCGTCAAAAAAAGTATAATTTTTACTCCTAATAAAACAATACACTATTGTTCGGAAATAGTCTTAAGTCGAGAATGAAATTAGTATGTATTATCTAATATCAAAGTGTAAAGTATACTTACTGCAGATCAAAATGTCGGTAGGAATTTGGAAACATACAACCGTTTCAAAAAAAATATAAAACAACATATTTTCTGACAACAATTGTAGATTCTCGGGAATAAAGATATAGTCTCTATATTAGAAGAACCTAGCACTAGACTTGGCGAATGATATGTATTCGAACAGCGAATTTTTGTCACTTATACAGAAATTTTTAAATAAATCCCTGCATTTAGCGGTCTAATGGATTCACGAAATTAGTTCAAAAATCGGTCCAACAATTAAATTGATGAATAGATATTTTTCTATATAGTTTTATAACATTTACAATTATTTTTCGATTTATTATCTGTTACATCTGTTATAGAAAATGTTTATAGTTTTCTAGGACACATTTTTATAACTTTTACACTTTGCAGTTATTTTTTGATTTATTATAAAGTTTCAATAAAATTATTTTTTTTTATTTAAATCACATGATTAAAATTAAAAAAATCACTTGATTTAAATCACGATTTAAATCATGATTTAAATCATTTGATTTAAATCATGCCAACCCTGTTTATAATGCAAATAAAAATTTCATTAAAATTCTGAGAGAATTTCGCCACTAAAACAACAATGTTCTAAACACGGAAAAACAGAAAACATATTATGCGTCACTCAATTCTTAACATTACGCTGGCACCGAGCTGGATATCGAAAAGAGGGAGCTTATCATTTTATAAGTCGATCGATGGGCGTCATATTTTCTACATAACATATGTATTTCTTCGAATTTTATTTTTCGTATTTACAATAATCTGAATTAGGAATATTGGTCAAATAAACGACTAAAGAATACAACGACAAATAACACCCGAGACCAAAGTGTGACCATTCTTCCAAACAGTGCCGTGGCACATATTTTTCTTAACATAGCCGCTTGAAGCGATATTTGTATGTTTGATAAATGTTTTGACTACGCCTATGGTGTATGCGGAGGTATCATACTAATTAATTACGAAAAAACGTATTAAAATGTTAACAAAAGGTACAAAACTAGTATCGACGTATAGCACAAATCAAGTACATATAATATCAGAAAAATAATTATCGAATTCAATAAAAAAAACTGCTAAAAAGGTGGAGTGGACTGTTTATTTCCCTATAAAACCTAACTCCTGGCTCTTTCTTATCATTACGCCTTTTAAATTTGAAAGCTGTACAAATTACATTTTATAATAATATTTACACAAAGTTCACTACACACAACCAACTATTAAAAATCGCTAAAAATTGTCGCTGATGACCAGCTGATGACTCATTCGTTACTTCCAAAAAAATGGCGTCTAAGGTCACAAATTCTGCTGCAGCCCGTATATGGGCGTTACATGTCCTTGAATTCTTTAGTCATTGGGAATAACAGCGCTTTCAAATGGAGCGGACCGTCCGTCGTGTTTTTTCAAGATAGCCGTTGGACGGAGCATACGCGCCCATTTGAAACCGTTCATATAAACTCATGGTACTTGCTCGAAGTCTCGGAGGCTCCGTCCTGACCGTCCGCGACATCGAGCAAGTACCATGAGTTTATATGAACAATTTCACATGGGCGCGTATGCTCCGTCCGACGGCTATCTTGAAAAAACACGACAGACGGTGTATTACGAACTGTGTGAGAATTGCTATACAGGGTGACCCAGCCAAGGACACATATACGGGTGGAAAATGGAGGTAATTACCTCCAAAGAATATACCAAGAAAAAGAAAGTGCTTTACTAAAAATGGTTCCATGTTAGTGGCGCCATCTATTGAGAGGGTCTGAATTTAAATACTCTCATTTGCATAATTTCACTTAAAACTCTCATTTTAAATATGAAAATCATCTTAAAAGTTATTTATTAAACATTAACAAATCTAATGTAAATCTATGTGTAGTGTAAAAAATAAAATTTAATAGTAAAATTTATACATGCAAAAAATAGAAGTCAAATATATGAACATCGTTTATTATAATAAAGCAAGACCAACGTAATACACCCAAAGTTTTTTATATACTAAAGGTCGGCATTTCTGGTCTTGGGTGCCGGTTTTCATGTGTACGAAGAGTACGGTCAACACGCTTAGTAAAATAAGATATACTGAATAAAGACAGAAGACGAGTATTTTCCCAAGCACATGGAATCTAGCGTCAGATTAAGTAGGTACCTATGTAATAAATACTTAGTATTTTTGCTCACTTCGACTTACTAGATTGCCATAACGACTCACTCCTATATGTAACCGCCGACCCAAAGGTTCGCTTGCCAGCGGGGTATATGATATTCTATAGTAATTAAAAAACTTTATTCTTAAATGCACCGTTTAGATTTACTTAGTCATCGAAATAGGACAACGGCCTAGCTACGTTGAAATACCGGTTCCCATTAGAACACCGAAGTTAAGCGACGTAAGGCGATACTGGTGGATGGACGGGTGACCGGTTTGAAACTCTGTATCGTGCTGTTGTCCAAAGGAAAAGTGTCAAATCTATTGATACATACTGCTCATTCACGCCGGTTCGAGGCCGGATGAGATCGGATATCTCGTGAGTAAGAGTTAATTTAGACACTTCCTAAGTCGGTAGGCCACTGACGATATGATGATATGAGCGAGGACCGCGGTTTGGATTCCGCGTAAACAAAGTAGGCCCCAGGTCCAGATTAGCCCTGGCAGCAAAAAGGAGACGTTAACTGAAATCTTTACTTTTTACTTTAATCGAAATAGTAGATTATTCTTTTTTATAATTCTGGTGCCGTGCATGCAATTGCCAAGTCGTTATAATATTATAGAAATAAAGATGACTAATATTGATACTAACGATTTATAACAAAAATGTTAAATACGTGCTTAAAGAGAGACTAAATAAAATAAACTGACTTGGTTTTACATGAGATCTAACAACTTTTTATAGCGGAGGAATTGTGTTGCGAGACTTGGCATTTTTTTAAATTCTATGTTTTTGATGGGATTTTTAATATTTCGTTATCATTTTGAAAAGTTAAAAAAAATCCAACACGAAAAAGCAATCTAGGCCAACAAGTTCAGTCAGCATATGTAAATCTGTTTATTTGGTTAGTTACTTAACGCTATCAAAGGAGAAATTTACTCGAAAAGAACTTTCACTTATATGGTTCCACTTTAGTACCAGTCTAAACCATAATAATGTTATGTTAATTGAGCTAAACATTCGATTTCAACAATTGCAACTTTCGATAATTCATTGTTCATTTAAATCTGTACGTATTTGGATATTTAATTTTTATGGTACCTACATTAAATAAGCAATAAATATAAATAGAATACTTATAAGTGGGAAATAAAACACTTCCTACATAATATAGTAAATTTTATTATAAAAATAGTTTACTTTCTCAAACTACTTCATTTTTCACAAACACAGCCATTTTGTCCTAACATATTTTCTCTTGAAAACAAAATATGCTAATACCGCAAAATAATACTTAAACACTATAATCAAATTAAAACATACTTTCAGTCAAAATATATTTATACAATGATTGATAAGTAGTGGCAGTATGCAAAATAAAAAGTTGCTTGAGGTAATTACTTTCATTCAATTTTTCAGGCAAACTAAAATGATGACTGAACGTCAACCAATTAAAAAGAAACATAAAAATGCGGTCCAAAAAAATTTAAAGCACCACAAATAAGTATACAAAAATAATTTAAATTTACTTAAGATAATATCACAGTAATACATGTTTCAATTTTTATATTAAAAGCAATAGTTTAATTTAAAACAGATAGGAAAGTAATTTCATCACTGTGAGTACAATCTTAGGAACTAACAAAGTTACAGACAAAAAAAATGATTTTTATAAAATTTAAATACAATATATTGTTTTTATATTTTACATTTAAGTTTAGTCCGAACTCAAAAAAAATGTAAAAATTATGAAAGACATATATATAATGTATAAATATGTCATCCTTGATATTACTATTATGTTGAACTGTAATTTTAATACTACTTAAATATAATAAAATATGAAACAAGCACTATCACAGCTTATATTTAATATTTTACATTTTTCAAGTTTGTTACTTAAGATAAGGTCACTTTATGAGAAAGTCTTGGGTTGTAAAACAGTCAAGTAAAGCCACAAAATATCACAATCAAGTTTGTGAAAAAAATGAGATTCTGGGTATCACATCTAATACTAAAAATTATATTCTATGAAACAGTAACATTAACTTGATATGTTAGTGATATAAAGAAACAGTGAAAATATGATTGGCGTTTACAATAAATAAAAGCTGATGAATAATGAAATGTGTAACATTCTAATATAAATAAAAAAAGGGTAGAAAAGCATTTAAAAATATTGAAAAGTTTTAAGAAATCAGATATAAGTGTGCTCTGTTGCAAAACATTTGTCCAAGTAGTTTTATATAAAAAATGTTTAATAACTTCATTAACTCAAATAATTAAAATTTTAGCAGTGTACGAAACATACAATATTTATTCGAGAAATATTAAAATCAAATAAAAAATGTTATTAAGAAATGTTTGCCTACCCTCTTACTGACAGAATACTAAATCACAACCTCTTAAGTCAATCTCTATTTTACTAATTATTAATCACCCAAATCTCCACACTTCTCCAACTGTTAAATTTAACATGTATGAGTAAATTTAACAAACCAGATAAATGAACAAATTCATTGTGATTTGGACTATGCCATTAACAGTTACTGATTGAATTCAAACCTAGGTAGTTACTAAACTTGTTTAGTATAGAAATTGCAGCCGTTAATGGCATAGTTTATAATCTCGTCTCACTCGATATATCATAAGCTCCATACATGCGCGCGCGTCCTCAAAAGAATCGTGGCCCGACTCACTACATTGAATATTACGTTGTAGACAATCACTGGTTAAACCTTTTAACGAACGTTTGTAGGGCAACCCTCTCGAATGGGGAAATGTGAACGCCGTGTCTACGACGGTCTTGTGAATAAGTCTTAACGCTTTAAAATCGTTTTCTAGTCCGTGACCGACCACCACTGTTTCATCAAAGATGAATTTTTTCAAATCTCTTTGCACTTCCTCTAAACTTTTAGGATTATTTTTCACAAAATCCACTTCACTTACGCCACTAAATCTCGTATTGAAATCTACAATCTTATTCTTAGGTTTTATAAATGCGTTATAAACTGGATTGCCGGAAATGCCGACAACTGTAATTTTTACAGCTTCGAGTCCTTTCACGGTGTAAGACATTTCACAATCTAAACTATACGCTCCCCAGTGCAGTCTCCTGGGTCGATACTTGACGGGTTCAGTTTCGGTAAACGATGAATTCACTGGAAAATAAAGAAAAACAATTGTTATAGTAACATATTTCTCAGTTGTACCAAGTAAAATTATAACTATCCGTTTTTGTAATAATAATATATTGTTTTATTAGGAGTAAAAATGATATTTTTTGTGGCAAGGCTTTACAAGAAAGTCATTTTTAATCCGAATAGAGAATGCAATTTTTTTCAAAGGTCACAAATAATTTTTTAAACAATTTTAAACGTTCCGAATATTAGAAAAATAGTTAAAATGTCTTTAAAAAATTATACATTGAGAAACTATGGTTACGCCTATGGGTTACGCCCGTTGAATTTGACACTTTATGTCAGTGTAATATATAAAAATAAAATATATTTTTTACTTTTATGCTTAGGCATAAAAGTGATTTACTTTTATGCCTAGGCGTTAAAATGACTTTTTTATATTGTCACGTCGCAAAAATTAATACTTTTGTGACGTTTGAAAAAAAATAGTATATTGTTTTATTAGGAGCAAAAATAATACTTTTCGTGGTGAAGCTGTACGTTTGACGACATACAAGCGAGCCACAAAGTCATTTTTACTCCGAATAGAACAAAGAAACTCTTAAATAAAGCTAAACAAGCCGTGAGAATGCATATAATATATTCGACATTGTTCTACTTCGCTCTGTTTGGTCCAATCAAACGTTTTGTAAACCTATCTTAAATATTTTTTTTTGTATTAATAAAAAATGTCGAAATGTGCAATGGTCACTGTGAAAACTATACAAAAAAATAACTGTAAAGGAGGACGCACACTGAATCCCTCCAGATCGGCCGGCTAACTGCAAACCATCATAAATACAGAGTGTCCCACAAATAAGTGCTAAATAAGTATTTTAACTGGTAGACAGGAACGCCCATGAGGGTTTTTTACGAAAAAAAAAATGCTGAATATTTTATATTTTTCTTGACATTTTCCGGAAAATATTGAAAAATGTTTGAGTGCCGCTTGTTCAGTTTAGGAAAATTTGTTTAAAGGGGTTCGAGAGAATACAGTGTTGACACCTTCTATACAAGTTAACATTTTTAAATTTCGACAAAAAAAATTAAAAGAATTTTATTCATTGAAGATTTTCTAATCGGTAGATTACTATTAGGTATAGTGCAACATCTATTATTTCAAATACCTTTTTTACAGTTTAGTAAACTGAAATTATGAATAATGAACAATTATAGCAACTTTTTTTCCGCCATATAATGAAATATTTTCCCTCGTTTCCCTCAACAGTTATAACGTATAAATATTTTGATAGTGCTCTTTGCATTTAGTGATTTTATGTTATCTAATTTATTTGAGATTTTACACAAAACAGTAAATCTCTGACAAAACTAAAATAAAATAGGCAAATGTAAGCCTGTAAAAACTATTTTGGTGTTTATTCACAAAAACAAGGGAGTGCGAGAGATATCAAAAAATAATCCTAAATAATTCAGATGGCATATGAATATATTTTGTGCCAAATACACATCGTTTGTAGTGCTGTCATGAACTGAAGTGAAATGAAGTGTTGTTAAGTATAGGGTTGCGGTGTTAGATAAAGTGATAAAACGACGTTCTAACCTAATTATATCAATTTGCAATCTATCGAGTCCGGTTTTCTAATGTTAGGTAAGTTTTTTACTTTTAATCTGTATTTTCCAAGTCGTTTTTAAATCTTTCTAGTCGATGTGTCAACACTGGGCGTCAAACAAGCCGAGATCCAGGTAACTGCTTGATATTTCCCACTGATTTATCGATTGCTGGCGGCGGCTGTCAAAATGTTGCCATTATTTTTTTAAATGTTCAGAGTTAAATAACTCCGTTATTATTAATTTATTTTTAAAATTGTAGAGAAAATATGTTTCTTTTGGCCAGATCTACCACCTCTTCAAATATTTGCACCTATTTCTGGGACACCCTGTATATATATATATAGATATATAGATAGGAGTGCGGCGTCTACAGGCCGAATATCAATGTAAAAGAACGGATTTTTTTATATATTACATAATGATAACACACTAACAACTATTTTCGCAAATATTGTGACTAGAACAATTTTTTTTGCTGCAAAACACAATATTCGCAGTCCGCACTCTTGGATCCAAAGTTTATTTATTTTAGATAAGTGCATAATACTACTTCAAGTAAATATTGTTTTAAGAACTATAGATGCGTTTCAAACATTTTGAGATTAGTAAATCTTACCAATATTACAACCGAAATAACAATGAGTCCTAAAACCAGGTTTAAATAGGAAATAACAAAAATATAATTGTTGAGTAACAAAGTTTGCAAAGTAGATAAATGTAAAACTAAAATTAATTCAAACATAACTTTTCAAAGCATTATTAATAAATACAAGTTCTCTTCGACATTTTTAATAATAAATGTTAAACTTGACAAAAAAACTAAGTTATGAAACTATAACGATGTTATATAATGCTTTTTAGAAACAGGCAAACATTAAGTAACTGCCTTAGATAATTTGATGTATCTCTAATAATAAAAATACCATTTAATGAAAACTTTTTTGTAGACACTGGATATTTTTGTAGACACTAGACTTTTTATAGATATATATTTTTTTATAGATAGATAGATATGCTTTGGTTTAATTAATTTTGTTATGTCGCTAAAATTTATTGTTAAATAATCCAGCATTTTCTGATAGGCAAATTATTACTACCTACGTTTTTCATTAATTTCATTAGATTTCATTCATTTCTTTACATAATACCAAACTTTGATAATACTATCGATAGGAAAGAATGCAATCTTGGTAAATATTAATTTTAGTTAAAACTGCCAAAATATATCATCGTTAAGATTTACACAGGATGAATCTTAAATAAGTGTATTGTTAGGGGTATATATTTCGACCCCAAAAACACGACATTGAGTTTTTTCGCGAAAAAAAAATTGAAAATTTAGTTTTTTTTTGAAAAAATTTTGGAATTTTTTTTTAGGTAAAAAACATCATTTCTTCATAATATGACAACATAGGTAGTAGATTAAATTTACAAGAAAACCCAGAAAAGATCCAGTGGTTCCCAAAGTTTAAGCAAAAAATGTTTTTTTGGAAAATTTCAAAGTAAAATAACTGGGTTATTTTGGACTGATTTAAAAAACGGTAAAGGGAAATTATGTTTCTTTTATCGAAATCTACCAGCCCTGAAAATATTTACTGCATTTCCTATAATAATATTACTTTCTATACCCAAGTTTAACTATATAAAAATTAAAAAGATAAATAAAGCATTTCTAAGTACTGATGCATCTTGTTGAAATGCCAGTCTTTTAGAAAAGATTTATATTTCTATTCTATTTTTATTTAATATTATTAAAAATGATAGAAATATAGAACTGAAAATAATTATAAAAAAATATTCTTTTAAAAGCAAATCACCCATTTGTTTCATTTTTATTAAATTCATTGTGAAAAATAAGGCAACTTAACTGTAGTTGTATCAAATCAATTTTCATACAAAGGGTCGATTGTAATTCATATAAAATTTTACTGTTTTATCTGTAATTCTTATAATTCATTCATCACACATCCCGATCTGTCTATGTTGAAGTCATAAAAAACTAAATGTAATAAAATAAGCACAGACTTTACGAAAAAGACTCAAAGAATTATTTCTTGGCTTACCTGTTATCTCCTTAGGTCCATTCCAAACGTGAAGGTTTCCAGAAGTACATCCCGTTGAATCTTTAGTACCGCCACAACAGGTGTATATCAAAGGTCCGTAACCGTGATAACTTAATGTCCTTAGTTTTCCCCAATGATACTGACAGCCCTCCAAACTGACATAATCACAAGCAGTGGTGAAAAAAAATTTGCCGCACCTAACGCAGATACGCTGTTTAATACCCTTGTAGTAAGTTGTGCCAGAGACTAAATGGGGATAACGTTCATCAGGCAGATCTTCTGAAGCTGTAACAATAATATTCGAAATTAGATTATATCATACTAGCCACAACCGAATTAATAATATGTTAGTTATTTTAAAACTGTTACTTACTGTCGGAACTGCTACTGCTACAATCCTCTTCGCTGCAATTACCAGAAATTTCACTACCATTCCCTGAATCTCCAGAGTCGTACGCTGGTACAAACTCGGCAGCATGAACATCCAAATAGTAATTGGCAGTATAGTCGGTATAGTCTGAATGGTAATAGTAGTGGCCATAATCTGTTTGATAAGTAGACACTTGATAAGAAGAAATTTGTGGTTTCTTCGCTGGACGAACGGGATATCCCAATTTGGTTTTATTCTCATGTTTTAGGGCATAGGTTCTTAGAAAAGTTACAAAAGTGTCTTCATCGATACTTAACAGTTTGTATTGTTCTAATGGCGTGAATGAAAGTTGACTAAATTTTAAACTTTCAATTTCATACTGGCTACCGACAGACGATATTTGGTTTGAAAATTTTTTACTAGGCAGCCTTCCACTTTTCTTCGAGTCGCTCGACTTATTATTTTCCTCCTTCGTCGACTGTTGGTTGTCGCGCCTTCTGTTCTTTCGCTGCCGCCGGCTCAGGCCTTTCACAGGGCTCACGCTCGGGCTGGTTGGCGAGCTGTTCGGATTAGAATCGGAAGAGCTAGACGAACTGTCATTAAGGGATGAATAATCGCCAGGATCAGGATCTTCTGAGAAAGAAAAATAGGTTCAAGTTTATATCTTCTAGGTGCACTTAACACTAAACTAAGTCACTGAAAATAGTTTGGTTGCCCATGCGATAATTTGTTAAATAATTTGCACCACGACAATCAGTATTCAACGTAAAATATAATCATTATTTAACAAAATAGTCGACTTCATTGATTTTTTGATTTTGTATAGAAAAGTCATAATATTTAATAATAATAATCTAGAATTGTGTGCCAATATGGTTGCTGATTTGTATTTTAAAGTAATTCAACAGTATTCTTATAGCAACAAGTAATACAAAGTATGTAAAATAATTTCTTAGATAAGAGTCGATATTTTATCTTCTACCATAGTATTTTGATTTCGGAAAAACGATTTATTTAAGGAGATTTTTAGTGTGCGTTTACACGACATATTTTTTTAACTTAATTTTCCAAATAAGCTCGCAAATAAGAATTCAAGAATTTAGGAAACGGGAAAAATACACTACACAGTGATATTATTCACTTGTTTGTAACCATGAATTAATCATCATCGAACCAACTAAAAAATTTATAAATTATTTATTAAGTGCCAAGGGTGCAAACAAATCAAGAAATTTTAAAACACATTTACTTGATTTTGGTCAGTTTTCTATTTAAATCGGACTTCCAATTAAACTCCTAAGTGGTTAGGTTAGGTTGTATCTTCGGAACTCCGATATCGATAAATTAACATTTCTACGGCGCAAGTTTTAAGGCTATCGGATGGCTGTAATGTTCTACAAGCAGAGGTTTGCGCCATAAAGGAAGCGGCCAGTTGTATATGAGAGAAAACCGCTGATAGACCAATAGGAGATATCGTGATATACTCTGACGTCTTGGGCGCTTTAAGAAACATCACCATGCAATCAGTGAGATCGAAAACTATGATGGACTGCCGAGAGGCACTGTCCTGGCTGCGTCAAGGAAACTGCCCCTTGAAACTGCCCCACGGGGGTAAACCTCGTGATATGGAAGATTTCCAACGACTACTGCAGAGAATACAGAGAGGAAGAAAAAACCATAGAGCACTTGCTGTGCCACTGTCCGGCACTGGAATACCGACGCTTTAATACTTTAGAACAAAGTTTTTTGGAGGGACTAGAGGAAGCAGCAGAAACCAGCATCTACATCAGCGACATTGGGAACTTTGCAGTCTTGGGAAGAGCTGTAAGTGCTTTATGTCAAGAAAGAATGAGAGGAAGGTTTGGCCCCAGACATTAAATAAGTATATGTATAATAGGTAAATAGGTATATATCTTTTACATTAATTTTTCGATTAATTAAAAGTATTTAGACGTAATTACAGTTGAGTGTTGGAACCTTTGGTGTTACAACAGCAGAATAAAACACTAATTCACCACAATACACAAAAACACTTTACTTTTGCACTGGACGCGCGTTTGATTAGCAATCCAAATGATTAAAATTGTCGGTAGTTTTTTTAGGTAGTAGAATTTCACGGTAGAATTTAGACGTTACAACAGCAAGTTTAACTTTTATATTTATGATGAATAGATATAGAGTATATTTGCTATAGGAATAATTTTTTATAGTTTTATAGGAAAAGTTTTTAACAGTTTATAAACTTTTACAGTTATTACTGTTAGTTTTACAGTTATTTTTCGATTTATAAGTTTTTAAACAAGCCGATTTTTTATTTAAATCCATGATTAAAATTTAAAAAATAATCCGTTTGCTTACATCAAGTTGGTTTAAATATTTGCACCCTGGTGCCAACATCCAACATCAACCTAACAAATATTATTTTGAAAATCAATTAATCAATAAAAAAAGTCTTACTAGCGGACATACTCAAATTAGTTTGGTATTAGCATTAGCCCTAATAATATTTAATATAATAAATGATGGCGATATTACGTGATACCGTACACCGTAAACGCTGGCATTACGTCACATTGATTCTACATACAGATTGTTAACTGGACAGTTACTTATAGGGGAACAGAATGGCAACACTGCCTATTGAGAACGCATGCACTTATAGGGTTTTCTGCCCAAAACTGTGACAAAGTCAGAAACAATTTTGATAATATATCCCAATCCTTTATCTCTTCAAAGTGCGCATAATACCGTATAAACAATCTGCTATCTACTATTTTTAAGAAATATATTGCCAATACACGTCATTCATACAAACGAAATTTGCATGTTTCAAGTTTAAAGTTGCAAAGTTCAAAAATCAATATAAAAACAAATATACAACGCTTTACCGGACAAAACATTAAATGAATTCATATAATGTAAATCATTATAATCCCTAGTAACTTAAATAATATTACTAATTAACTTTTTAATGATTTTTATAGATACAAAAATTTATTTTATGATCAGTTATCCCATTGACTAACTACGAAACACCCACTGAATAGTAAAACTGAAGAAGTCGAATAACTACTTTTATATAACCTACTATTTAATTTTTTTTATGCAATATCTGTTATGATCTCAAACAACGCCCTCTAGCTACCACGAAAAAATGTCTGGAAACAGAATTTCTACTGTAGATAATTAGGGAAAAAAAGCTCATTTAATCGAGCCCTAGTTTATTTAAATCGGCTAACCCAAATCAGAATTAATTATCCTTATTTTAATTAAAAGCAAGTTTAACCTTCCCCACCACTTTATTTTATGAGATATAGCAAAATACGTTATCTCAAAAAAAATACAAATTTCCCATTGATTACAATAGCAATATTTAAAATACCTCTCCACCCGCACTTTTTTGACAAAAATCCTGTTTTTTGATTGGCCATCACAGATGCACACCCTAGCTTTTCCGAACTTGAAAATAATTTCCAGTAACTTCTCTTGGTCGATTTACTTATTACAATTTTTTTCCCAAAGTTATACGATAAGTAGTTTCTGAGATATAGCCGGCGTCCATTCTTAGTTGGCCACCACATTCTACATTTCATAACATAAATTACAACGATATTATTGTGAATCTAAAGAGGCTCAAAAATAATATCATAAAAATATAATGAAACAACTTTTAGACTTTAACAACCCTTAGTAAGTAATATATCCGAGAATACATCTAATACAAGGCTATGATAAAAAAAAAAGATTGGCAAGCGTGTACCAGCAACTTCGTTCGCGTCGAATTAATCATTTGTAATGGTGATGATAAAGCAAAGCAAAAATTTCCATTGACATATAAACTGGATAAAGTTTTCTCACATTTATGTCAGCATGAGAAAAAACAATATGGCGATATTATTATATAACTTGGTAATATTTGAGGGGTAGTTTCATCTCGTTGGAATTTGACTTTCGAAAAATCCGTGTGACAAAAGTAAGCTTTTTACGTCAAGCAGTTTAAGCAGAATCGTTGTTAAGAAATTACCATTACAACTTTTTGGAACACCCTGTATGATTTTTTAAAAAAATTCAAAATATGTAAAAAAAACAAATAAATTACGCCTGTCCAAGCGTTTTCCCGAAAGACGTTTTCCCGACCCGTTTTTTAAATAACAGATATTGTAATATTTGAGGGGCGTTTTCACCCTCTTGGAATTTGATATTCGAGAAACCCCTCTTTATCGAACCTCTACACACCCGACAGTCAATCCGTTTGCCAAAAATCAGCTTTAAACGTCAAGCAGCAGTTTAAGCAGAATCGTGATTACTCAATGGTCATATTTTATGAAACACCCTGTGTAAATTTATAAAAAATCTTAAAATATGTAAAACAACAAAATAAAATATACGTGTTTAAGAGTTTTTCCGCAAAACTCACCGGTTTTTAAATAAAAAATATTTTAATATTTGAGGGATAGTTTCACCCCCTTAGAATTCGAGTTTCGAAAAATCCCTTCTTATCGAACCTCTACACCCTAAAGTCAATCTGTTTTCCAAAAACAGCTTTTTACGTCAAGCGCTTTAAGCAGGATCGTGATTAATCAATGACCAGATTTTTCGAAACACCCTGTATACATTTTTAAAAAATCTTAAAATATGTAAAAAAAAACAAATAAAATATACGTGTTTAAGCGTTTCTTTTCGGAAACTTGACCGTTTTTTAAATACAAAATATTGTAATATTTGAGGGGTGGTTTCACCCTCTTGGAACTGGAATTTCGAAAAATCCCTTCTTATCGAACCTCTACACCCTAGAATCAACCTGTATGCCAAAATTGAGCTTCTTACGTTGAGTGGTTTGAGCAGGATCGTGATTAATCAGTATGTCAGTCACTTAAGGATTTTATATATTAGTATAGATACTTTATATGGTATATAAAATGACAGCGATATTCATTTCTAGGAAAATACTGATTTTTTTTCGACCGTATGGTACATGACAACTAATAAATCAATCAATTATAAAAACGTTTAAAGTTATATTAACTCCAAAGTTTAGAGGCTCACAATCCAGGCCAGAGTTTGTCTAGCGCCAAATAATACGATAGGACAGACAACATCCAAAATAATCAATTTTTTTAATTAATTACATATTAAATTTATTTCTGGACTAATATTGTTGAATTAACATTAGGCTAGTGACCGCTAATTCGCCACTTAACTAGGTCTGGTCACTTCATCATCGTGGCCTGTATTTTAATGCATGCGACAGAGATAAATATAAATGACCGGTTGACAGACAGAGAGACAAAGTAAAAAGCGGCATACAATGTTGCCGGTTTTTACGTTTGTAGGAAAATGTAAATAGAAAAAAATAGTTTTAAATACTTTCATGTATATTACTGAAATAAAGAAAATATATCTAAACTGAATATAATCTATTACAGCTGCAGTAAAATGAGTAACTAATTGTGAAAAATAAAGTTCCAATCCTAGATGCGACATTTTTCATAAACGCCTACTTGTGCGGTATGAAATTTTAATGCAAAATCCGGCAATGCCGCATAGAAGAAATGTATCAACTTTTATCTCTTTTTAACACATTTGATTTTCCATTAAGTTCTACATCACTGTCTTACACGTTAAAATCCAGACCACGCAGTTTCGAAGACCACATCGGTATATTTGATCCTTTGATTGTACTTCAGAGGTTTCAGAATTTTTTTTTCAAATACTTTGAAATGTTTAAATTTTAATTATTTTATTTAAATATAGTTAGTTATCTCGGAACAAGTTTTGATTTATTAACAATTTACTAAAAAAAATAGAGATCTTCATTTATGATTGTATGTTGAATTTACAACGCTATGGCTATATATGGCTATTGATTAAAATAATTCTCAACATTTTTAATATCCGATTATTAATATTCATAACAATTTACTTACACTTCATACTTAAAGTATGTTTAATTTGTTGAAATCCCGACCTCTTAAACATCCGTCCATATTTATGAATCACCATGTATACGATAAAACTGATAAAGGCAATGTTGTAAAGCACCACGTGCTACCACGTTTGAGATAAGTTTTCATTGGTTGGTAAAACAGGTTCGGCGGTTGAGAGCCAATCGCGCGATTCACAAACAACGTAAAAAATCATATGGTTAGCAAAATACACATGTGTTGCTGTTGATTGCGATAAACGCGTCACTATTTCTTAGAAAATTGCCAGCTTATATTAAAGTCCAGCTGAATTAGGTTATTTACAGTGTGAAATAATATAATTTCGTAACTTGTTTTGAAATTAGAAGTTATTATATATTTTCGCCTGCTGACAATCAATGACATCAGAAATCAAGAACAAATGAAGGGTAAGGGGAAAAATACACGATGCCGATGTCCCAAAACTGACTTTTATAGAGCAAATTGATTTAATGTTGCCAACTATCATGAAGATACAAAAAATAATTACTGAGTGCGTTATTATTTCGAAATCGGTTGTTATACAGGGTGGCACGAGAACGGTAGTTTATGCCGAACTCGAAAACTCGAAACTCAATAGATTAAGTTGATTACTTAAAAATTCCTATAAAATGGCCATCGTTGTTTTTTCCCTTACCCTTTAAATGAGATCAGCGTATTTTAAAATATCAATATTTCTTGTTAGATTTAATTAAGAAAAATATTAATTTTGAATATCATAATACTATAAAAATTGCCAATGGGCACTCCCCTTAATTATCAGTGACATTAAAAAAGTAAGTAGGTATATTTTTAAAACTTACCATCTCCACATGAAGCTAAATATTTTCCATTTGCTGCAAAATCCATATCTAAAACTCTACCAGTGTGGCCTTTAAGAGATGCTAATAACCAAGGATGTCTAAATCCTGCAAAAAAAACTAAATTATAACAAGATAATAAAAACAAACTGACTAAATTGCGGGGCGGTGTAGACAATTGACGAAAGAAAAAAAAGCATATTAATAAATGGTGAATTTTTCAAGTACGGCGGTTATTGCTAAAATGATACGTTAAATTCAAGCATTGGAAATAAGGGTTATGGATTTCAAAAATCTGTCAAATTTTTGCATCCGCAAATTTTCAACCAGACTGACTTTCCACCACTTGGGATGTGCCAAACTGTTATTTCCATTAATAAAATGATTAATTTTAATAAATGTCAAATATTTATGACTAGAAAAATAAGTTAAAATATTTTATTTATAAAACTCATTCGAAAATTTTAGCCAGACTCACAAATTGCCATTTAATGTCACCATCCGAACAAACTATTATATATAGTCCATTAGCCCAATAGTTAATTTTTTTACTTATTTTCCAAGTGGGTACTGGGAAAATAAGTACAAAAAAATGTCTGCCTCCTGGACTATAAAAATATTCTATATCTTTAGACGGTGGTCTAGCTATAGCTCAAGGGTGATTCTTTAAAACGAAATAAATTTAATAAATCGATCTTCTAAATTTTGATATAAGAAAATTGATTCCAATAAAAATATCAGTGATTTACTGAGGTTATTGAAAATTAGAGAATCACCCTGTCCAACTGCAAATTATTAACATACCTTTTTCGCTAGCTCTGTTATTCCTTCTATTCTCTCTTTCTGTAAGTTTTTTCTTTAATGATGCCGTTTTTGCCGAACTGGTCTGTTCTTTCTTTGAATGCTTTCCAGATAATTCACCAGATGATTTGGATTTTCCAGGCTTCCCGTCTGAAAACAATAAACAAACTGAATTAATGAAAATATCAAAATATGTAAACTAGCATATAAATTAATCAGAAAATATTATTTTGTTTGCATTTACATTGATTGCACATGAACGGTACTAGGTAACAGAGTACAGGGATTAAGTAGATATAATCTCAAAAAATTATGAAAACTTGTCAAAGTTAATTCAGATATAAAATATAAGCTAGAAAGTTTTCACATAAATCATAATTTTTATTGTAAGTTTCTATTTTCTATTTAAATTATAATATTCATAATGTTCATATCAATAAATGACACCAAAAGAATATCATTAAGTCTCTAAGGCAACCTTGACGGCATTTATTTTTGATCATAATAATTTTTAACGGGTCTTATCTGACGAAGTCGTCTCTTCTGTCGTTAACCATAGGTATTCTAGGTCTCTTTGTTTTCAAAAAAACATGTGCATGAAAAATTATGTCTAAACTTAACCATTACCTCATACGAAAAGAGAAAACTAAATATACTGAATATGATTAGAGACAACCGAGTGGATTCATAACAATAAGATACTATACATAATATTGATTCAGTTCATTTTCAGTTTTTTTTCTCAAAAACTATACGATGTGGCCTTTTCCACAAGAGACAATAAATGTAGTAAATACTAGAGGGACCATTATACGAAAAGAAAATCTGGCGTCGAGTCGGTGGAGTTCTAAAAACACTTCTACTAAAATGTATGTAGGGGTGAGGGTAGATTTCACCCTTCCCGTACTTTTTCTTGATTTTTGAGGAAGTCAAATATTAAAGCACTTATTTTTTTAAAGTTTGATGCCCTCTAGCGGACAAACGAAGCACTTTTGTATAGAAATAAATGACCTTATTTTGATTTCAAAAATACATAGTAGTTCTATGTCCACGGAATATTGGAACACTGTATATATAACGTATTCTGAGACTCTTCTATAAAATCGTTGATTTTAATAGACTCTTAACTGATTAAACAACGATTTTAAAATAAATGAATAAGTTTATTCATCAAGTTTTCTTGGAAAATTTAATAATTAATATTGTATATCCTGCAATTATTGTATATCTACTAAAACTAAAAAAGTTCTGAAAAATAAAAAACTAATTCTATTTCGTCCTTTATTAAAAATAAAAATAAGTTATAAAAAATATATCTTTTTTGTTGACCTTAACTCGTATTCAATGAAGCGTTTCTGCCATGATACAAGTAAGAAAATACAAGTAATTTTGCTCATTTATGGGTTACAGTGTCTAGGTTGGCATTAAAAATCAATAAGGATAGAAGGCTTCAAACAACGTTCACTTGTTCCAGTGTTTGATCGACACGTGTTCTTCGTGTAATAAATCAATAGAAAGGGTGACAAAATCGCCATCCCGGTGTTAATATAGCATATTAACAAACGGATAATTCATAAAACTAACAAATTTTACTTTTCAAGATTCTAAATCGAGGTCGTGTTTAGGAAATCCTTCACAGATGTTAGCAACTAACAAATTACGCCTAATGTAAAAAATCGTTTCCCTGCTAATTATCTTAATAAGTTGTAAACAAAAATATTTTCCAAAATAATTCTTCCTGGTTACCCTATCAAATTACAATAAGTGAAGCATAGCTCTGTGTTGTGGGGGCGTCCATTAATTACATGATGATACTTAACACGATGATACTTTTTTTAGGACCAGAGTGTGCGGATCTCCGTCATGCGAGAGGGCCTACCTACTAAAAACACATCTGTGCTCTAAGCTCGCCAATCTCGGTACCGCTGAAGGCATTTCATCGAGAATGGAGACTTGTCATTCTTCTATGTTGATCTTGTCTGTACCCAAATCTTGTCTTTTTCGTCCTTCCCATTTTTCTTCATAATGTTCCTTAACATCCCGCAAATCGCTTCGATATTTTCGTTCAATAATGTCAGAAGGTTTCCGACATTTACTCTAGCGATCTTCGTACCACATACTGTTTCTGCGTTTTCCCGTATATCTTCGTGCCCGTGACACTCAAATACTCTATGGTTAGCCGAGTCTGACGCCTCGCAATACCAACATGTAGGAGAGCCAGCCTTGCGGATCCTGTGCAGATACTCGCCAAATACTTCATGGACAGTCATGGCTTCGTGATGTAGTAGTCTGGCTGTGTTTGCCTGGTCGCATTTTATCCAATCTTTCATATTAGGTATGAAAGTCTTTGTCCACCTGCTATATGTTTCCCATCGTGTCTGCCATTGCTCTAGTACAATGTTTCTGGCCTCTTTCCGGAAGGAGGTTCCGTTTTTATATATTTGGTTTCTTTCCTCGATCAGTAGACTGATCGGAGGTATCTTAGCAAAACACAGTACCGCTACTGTTGGACATGTGCAGTATGCCGATGCAACCGTGAGTGCTAACTTCCTGTTTATCCTTTCTAACATGTTTTCGTAATGTTTGAAGCCCATGGATCTGTCCCAGATTGGCGATGCGTAATGGTCGAATGAACTACCGAAGCCAGAAGTCTTCTTTTTTCCGCGCGAGGTCCTCCTACATTGGGAGTGATTCTCGCCAGATAGTGGATGATGCCAATCGTTTTATCCCTGATTTCTGTGACGTGTGAGGTCATTCGCATGCCCGAGTCGAACCAAACCCTCATATATTTAACCTTCTTTTGGTAAGTTATAAGTATATAAGTAAGTTATCCAGCTTTATGCTTAGATCCTTTGCCCTGCATTGTCCAACGAGAACGACCAGCTCAGTTTTTTCTGGGGCTAGCTCGCCGCCCTTGCTTTCCAACATATTTTTAATCGCTAGCGCAGCCGTTTCAGTCTTTTCATCAAGGGTCGTGTAGGTGGAAGCAGTTATTAAGAGGGCTAGGTCGTCCGCATATGCTAAGATTGCCCAGGCATGTATCGGTTCTAAGTACCTGATCATAAAATATATTCCAGAGGGTGGCTCCAACATGAGGCGTTTATGAAGTTTCTATCAGAATTTCCAAACTAATTTCTGTACACTGTAATTATGTATATGTACGAACATTCGTATATTACTCGGTATATTACATGTCAGTAAAACGCATTGTGCGACTGTCCTTAATGAATACAATTTTGACTTTTCTTACCGTTATTAAGCAATTGAAAAAAGCTTCCTGTTACCGGATATACGTATGTTTTTTTGATACCGTGGGAAATTATTTAATTACAAAGATCCTATCAATCCTCATGTTTATTTTAGAAATAGCTTTACGTAAATAAAAATTAAATACCATTTTTTTAAATGCGAATTATTCTAGATAAGCGGCCTAAAATCTAATAATTACATTCATGTTAATATCTATCCCCGATCTATCATACATCAACCACGCATCTTCAAAAAACAAATATACATATAAAAAAATTAAATCGGACAAAGTATAGATACTTTTACTCTGTAAGAACAACTGAAGACTTGAAGTAAATAATGTGCCAAAAAGTCCATTTGTCATCGGAAAGACCCCAAATTCCATATTTGTAAAAGGCCCTAAATTTCACAACCAACAACATACCATGCTGGAAACTCTTACTTTTGAGTCGGTATTTACATGTATGGAGGTGAATCGCTTAAGCCGGGTGTTCACGGGTCAATTTTAGTCGAACGACTGTTGACTCGACTGTAGATCGAACATGTAAACTACTTAATCGACTTGGTCGTTCAATGAAGTAATTCGATTCGACTAAAGTAAGCCGGGCGTGACGGAGATACGGGGGTTATCCCAAATTGCAAAATTTTCGGAAAGACCCTGTAGCCAGAAACGAAGAGCTATTATGTGCTTTAGTTTTAGTTTGTGCAAACCGCATTCTTCTATCTTCACTAATAACGGAGATACTGTATGATTTCAACAAAAATAAGACACACTGTACATTCGGCCGCAATCGTTCGGCAAAAGTAGATCGCCTTTCAACTTTAGTCGTTAATAGTTTACAGTAAAATAAATAAAAATATCCCGAAGATGCCTCTTATATCAGGCAAACGGCGAAATTCGTCTGTTTATATGTAAAATAGCAAAAAGTCTAGACACATAGGTATTATAAAGTGAGTGAAAAGTACCACCATTATCTGCCTGCTAAAACTTTCACTTTACGATTAAAGTAAACTGATTTGGTCTGAGAGAAAACAAATTTACTAGATGCCTTGACATCTACATTTAATACGAGGGTAGTTTGAAAAATTTGCAACATCACACAATGGAACAAAACACATTTTCTTTGAAAACGTATTTTTATTTTTTTACATAACCTCCTTGCGAAGCCACGCGCTTTTCCCAATGATACTCCACCTCATTAACCCGTACAAATAGTAGCCGGCAAAATAGTTCTTTAAGCAGATGATGACCCCTGGTTATACGTAAATAGTTTCTCCAAGTGCAACATTTAGCTTCAAATCCAAAATAAGTCGCTGAGAACTAAATCTGGACGGAGGATTGCCTTAACGTAAAGGATCGCCCTAAACTGCAGAAGTACGAGACGTTTGTCTTCAGTTTATTCAACTATTTTCATGTATATTGGTTCTTCCTTTCTGAAGATAATTGATTAGGGTGACGTCATAGGTGTCCGAATAACATTCACCATCACTTTTCCTATCGGAAAATTCATTAGCAATTCACTATTTTTATTACAATCAATAATTTATATTTTGTATTAAAAGTTTAAAAATAAAAAGTAATAACAACTTAGTAAGAATTTAATTATAAAAAAAATAAAGAATAACATTCCCAACAAGTGGTGATACGAGTCAAATAGAGAACTACAACATTTGGTGGCAGCGACTACAAGATTGGTGACGACGGTGGTCCAATCCAGGATCACGACACTTGGATTTCCACAATTAGTTACTCATTTTACTACAGCAATAGATTCTTATTAAGTCTCGGTTTTGGAACTACTCTACGTTGTATCATTGGCAAAACAACAAAAACAAACAATCATAGTTGTCAGATTAGTATCTAAAGTCAAAATTGACAGCCATTTTACTTCAGACCAACTTTTATTGGTTCTCAGGCGTATAGCCCGTGACCTGCAGATATTTTATACAATGTTATGAAGCAACTGTCTAACATCGTTTATATTATTATATTATCTTCGTTTATTAAGTTACTTTATACGTACGAACCCGCAACACTGCAAGCCGCTTTTTATTTTGTATCTCTGTCCGTCAAGTGGTCCTATATACAGGGTCGCTGTTATGTATGGAAATGGTCGATTATTCGGTAAAATATAGGAGATACCGCAAAAAGTTAAATGAACTTGTACTTTCAGAATCGATAAAATCAGGCCTTTCAGATGGGTGATAATCTAATTCACTTGGTGCAAATGGACCAGACTTTGTTTCATTGTCATCCGTTTTATCAAAAAAATATTTTTTAGCTCTAAACTTTAGCACGCGTGTTAAAATCGCGGACAGGGTTAAATTTTATGGACTTGATCCAGTTCACTTCTGAAAGGAATCAACAGAATATTCAGAAACCAAATAGAAACAGGCTATAACGACTTAATGTGTAAAGTATGACTTGATTCATATCTCTACTGGAAAAAAAAAATATTTTATAAACATATAGGTAAAGACGATTATGTTAAAATAGTAGAAAATTGAACTTAATCCATTTTAATTCTGACCACTCCAAATGACTATTAGATTATTCAGTTAAAGTCGTATCAACAAATTCAGTAATTTAAATATGGACGTATTTTTAGGTATTAAAATTAAGACAAACATACCTATTACTTATCTTGTATGGAATAACAGAAAAATTAAAGTGTATGTAGGTAAGTAAATAAACAGTTATGTAAAAATATGTTTATGACCTCAATTGAATTAAGATGATCATATGAAAACTGGAAATATTCTTTTTAATTGCTTGTAGGTAGGTTTATGGTAAGGAACGAAGGTCCTACTAACCAATTAATTAAGTTTAGAACTTTTTAGTTAATTTGAGCAGTTAATTTGAGATCTTTTTTGAGATCTTTTTGTCTTTTGACAATGATAATTATTGTTTATAACAATGATATTAATAAGGATAATAAAAGCAAACATTAACATTTCATGTTTAATCACTCTAAATGACGATATCGTATAAACATAAGAATTATACTCTAAAATAAATATAACGTCATAAGTATGTTTCATCAAAATAACTAAAAATCAAGGTCCTTATGATATAAATGTAATACGCATAAAATAAATGAAAATACTATTTAAACAGATTTAAAATACGGATTGGCACACCACTCAAGATAAGATTTCAGAACAGAAAGTTTTTAATTGTTTTATCAGTGTGCTAGATTTTTAGTAGTTCACTAATCTTTAATTTACAAGAAAAAATCTTAGTATCAAATTACAATGCACAGAGTGAAATTCGCAAGACTCATTACCTTTTTAAGTCACAAGTTAAGAAAGGTTGACGTACCTACCTAGGTAGGTATTCAATTCTCATTACAACATAGGCCTCTTTAATAACATAACTTTACATAGGTAGGTATGTAATTAGATGTTACAATTTAGTGCCTACTACGATTTTAATCAAAATAGAAAGGCGTGGATCTCAAATCTTGACTGTGATTCACTTCGTTATTTCCTTAGTAAATATGAAAAGTATGATATAAGCAACTTCCTTGAATTAACATGTCTACTTATACATAAATATAAATTAGTTTACCCCAATGACTAAAGAATATAAGGACATGTAACGCCCCTATACGGGCTGCAGCAGAATTTGTGACCTTTTTTTTGTTTTGGTGGCAAACAATGAGTCATCATTTGGTCACCAGCGACAATTTTAGCGATTTTTTAAGAGTTCGTGTGTAGTAAACTTTGTATAAACTTTATTACAATGGTGATTAGTTGTTCAGCTTTCAAGTGTAAAAGGAGCAGCGATAAGAAAGAGCCAGGAGTTAAGTTGCATAGGTAAATACACAGTCCACTCCAACTTTTTAGCGTTTTCTTATTGAATTCGATAATTTATTCTTCAATTTCAATTAACATCTATATGTACTTGATATGTGCTATATGTCGATACTAGTTTTGTACCTTTTGAAAACCAACCTAACCAATTTTAATACGTTTTTTTTCGTAATTAATTAGGATGATACACCATAGGCGTAGTCAAAACAATTATCAAAAAATATAAATATTGCTTCAAACAGCTAGGTTAAGAAAAATATGTGCCACGGCACTGTTTGGTGTCATCGTCACAATTTGCTCTCGGGTGTTATTTGTCCTTGGATTCTTTAGTCATTGTTTTACCCTCTATAAAAAACCTACCTACCTAAACTAAAATTCTCTGTTAAGGCATCTTTTTTAAACAAAAAATAATTAGGTATCGACTCAAACACTAGAAGTTACAAAAATAGTTAAAATCTCCAGTTCGTACAATTTAAATACAAATTATTATAATAATTCAAAATTTGTCCAACAAAATAAGCTAAAGATGATTACCTTAATTGAAGAATATGGTTGGATTACTCAATAAGAACATGCTATCCAAAAAAATATATTTTAAAGTCTACCTACTTATATGCCATAAAAAAATAATTAAAAAATAGCCTTCAAAATATTCAAAGTTCTGTGATGTATAAATTAATGACAATGGAGAAATTTGGCAACATAAAATTCTCTCAAGGGCGCGGTAGACCGAAGACAACGTGCTTATTAGTCACATTGGTTCTTGGATTTTCTCAACGGCAAAGAAATCGGATTGTAAAGTTAGTGATTAAAGTACACAAAACGATATATCTTGTTTAAAGAGAAAGTGTAATATATATTTTTAGATAACCTAATTTCGGTTCGGACCACCCACAAGGTAAAAAAAAATAGGCGGTCAAAAAAAGCACGTGAAATATGAATTGGAAAAAGCGGTGTTGCAATTTTCTGTCGTGTAAAACTAATTTTAAGTTATCGTACAAATTGTTTGAAAAATAACAATTACCTTTTCCAGAGCCAACTCTAGGGCTTTCCCGCTTAATCCATTTGATAAAAAACACGAAAACGGCCACACCAAGACCGACGAAAATGGTTAAAAGAACTGTCGGCCCCAAAGAGACCTTATTCGGAGCACTATCCATGTTCTATGTTAGTATACTTTTGTAAACTATATAAAAAACCAAAACGAAAGAGTAAACCAAAGTTACGACCACGCGGTAAACCAACTATCTCTCAAATGCCGATGAATGCAGTACTGTTACCATAACATCGGTCGAGGCGAAACATCTGTGAAGGCGGGCAGTGTTAAAATTGCATTGAGATAACCGGCAACGCGAACTCATAATTTACGCACAATAACAACCGAAATTTCATCTTTACAGCTTTGCTAAATATCAATAAAACCGTTGGAAACGTTATGCCCAAAGTACAATCAACGTTAAAACTAAACGAACGACTAAAAGCAACTGGATAATTTGTAGCGTGTGGCTTGGTTTCATTTTGTTCAGTGAGACGTCGCATGGCGTGGAAGAAAGCTACGTTGTCAATACTTGTAAATTGTACTTATCTTAAAGATTTTTAATATTTATTATTTTATTTATTAAATTTTAAATTAATCGAAAATTTCTATTTTTTGTTCTTCTATTTGGATAGATATAACAAAATAAATTGCATATTCACATTGCTACTTTTTTGTTCTTCTTGATGCTGAATGAGTGCGATACATCACTAATTTTGGGACTTTAGGAGCTCTTAAAATCCTCAAAAAAAACAGGGCCATATCTAAATTATGGATGGTAGAGATAAGGAGAAAAATCTCTTATGGAACTTTATTTGAGAAAGTGGTAATCAAAATGGGAAGAATAAGAGTTCACTAATTGTAAGTTTTATATGTGTAAGTAAAAAATACGGAAATGTATATTTTCTCAATCAGTAGTTTTATACAGGTACAGGGTGATTCAAACTTCCCGCCCTTGGCTTATAACAGGAAAAGGAAAACTGCAAATACAAGACAGGATTTGAATGGTAGTGTGTAAGGTATATTTTTTCGTATTTAAACATTTTTCAACTTTTTTCAAAATGGTGGAAATGACGTCAAAAAAAATATTTTTTTCACATACTCATAATTTTTTTTCATATTCTGAAAGAACATATTTTTTTAAACAACTTTTATTAAAATTATTAAAATTAATTTTTTTTTTTGAAAAATTATGACATTGTGAAAAAAATATTTTTTTTGGCGTCATTTCCACCATTTTGAAAAAGTTGAAAAATGTTTAAATACGAAAAAATATACCTTACACACCGCCATTCAAATCCTGTCTTCGAAATTTGTATTCTTTTTCATATTTACAGTCTTTAATAATAATTATTCCTGTTATAAGCCAAGGGCGGGAAGTTTGAATCACCCTGTAGAAACGAAAAGTTATTACTCTTCAAATCAGTTAAAAAACATGTAGTTAATTGGCGCCCCCTACAAAAAGGAGTCATGTTGACTTCGAAATCAAGTTTCCCATGTCAAAAAACACCTAGACACAAATTTTAATCAATCAATATTATATAGACGTTACTGAAATATTGACGTTACTTAAGAAATTATTTGGTAAGAACTTTTTTAAAACAGAAAATATTTTTAGCTACAGAATATGCTGTCTGAAATTGGTGTCTAGGATTTAAGGAATTTTTTTGACTTTGAATTTAATGCCAATTTGATTTTAATGCCAATTTGATTTTAATGCCAATATGACTCCTATTCGTAGGGGGCGGCACCTACATGTATTTTAACCTTTATTTTAACTGTTTTGAAGAGTATTAACTTTTTGTCCGTACCTGTATAAAACTATTGAGTGAAACACTGTATATGTTATAACGGTAAAAATAGCTACGAGCAACCGTTCTCAAGATGTTTAGAATGGAAATAGTCAATACATATAATTATTGAGAAAAAATAAACATGTTGAGTAGATAGTTATTTGACTGAAATGATAAATTTGGGAACTTTTTATTTCTTAAAAATTTTTCTTCGAAAAAATGATGATAAAACAGTTTCTGTTGAAGTTTTGGCACAAAAAGATTTCGAATTTATGAGTTCACTCTAATAACTATTTAGTCAACATGTTTAATTTGTGTCAATGATGATATCAGGTATTGATAATTTCGATTCCAAATATCTCGAGAACCCTTACTCGTAGCGATTTCTTCCAAGAGACGTTTTTTACGTAAAAAACGTGTAAAAAAACGTCGTAAATGTATATTTTTTTACTCAGTAGTTTTATACAGATGCGGACGAAAAGTTATTACTCTTCAAACCAGTTAAAAATATGTAGGTGGCGCCCACTATGAGTAGGGACGACGTTTATTTCATAAATTATTTGGAAAAAATTGAAATAAAAATGAAACTTATACACCCTGTATCTCCGAAACTAAAAATTTTAGGACATACATTTATACGAACTTTTTTACTTATTTTTATCTGCAAAATATGCTGCCAAAGATTCCGGAATACAGTTCGTACCACCCTGTATAATTAATTATTAAGTCTACTATTAAGGCTACTGAAAGAACAATATCGTTTTTAAATTTAAATGTAAATTAAATTAAACAGACTACTACTGTAGAGTATCTTATATTTTACCAGAAATATCAATGAAAAAGTGTGGCAACGCTGTAGCACATGTTCACATGGTCTACCGATAAGATGATGTGTCCCTAGTTGGAAGTAAAATACTTAATAGATTGTATCTTAGGATTGTATGTGAGATATTTAATCAAAGATTTAGTCAAACGCATATACGTATAAATTATTTATAATTATGCATAAGCACGCTTATTCTATGATTCCTACTGTATTCTATGAAGTAACAGTCTATTCTCGATATTGTATTTGGTATTTTTATTTTTACATTTCAGAACATGACTAATACGGTCTAGACTCCCATCAAATTACCCCCGCTCTCATACTTTGCCAGTCGTAAGTGGTCCACTGGAAAAGCTTATATTCGAAAATGCCTATCCCCCCACCCCACCGTTTTTAAGAAACTCAAAAAAATGTTGGATTCGATTTTCTGGCTGAACCGTAAGTCCCACAAAAAATGTTATGGAGCAAAAAACGAAGATAATTAAATTCTCTATATTTTGATTTCAAGTAACTAACCTCTAAAACCTACGGGGACAAAGTTAGAGGGCGCCAAAGTCACTCAAACGCAGGTTTTGTATTTTCCGGGTGAAACCATTTTTTTTACTGTCGCAAAGTTTTTAAAAGTACTTAAACCATAAAAAACCTATCAAATTGATGTGTAAGTTTTTTTACGTTTTACTGTTTACGAGATATATTGCATTTTTTCTTGTCATTCAAAATGTCATTCTATTGCGAATGCCATTTTCTGTCACATAAAGTAAAACAATATCGACGATACCATTTAAAAATCAAAAGTTTTAGTAATTTCCGCTGAATGCACTAGGCATATACATATTGATAATAAAGATGCGTGATTTATATAGTTTTTCTAAAATATCTTCATATATAAGATAATTTAAGTGTCCAAGTTAAAAAAAAGCTAATTTTATGTCAAGTGTGAAAAATGTTACTTTTACAAATTGCGCGACTAACTTGGCCAAAATGTATTGCCTTAAAAAATATATTGATTATAGAAAATATGTAAAAGTGGGCAACACTGTGCCGGTCAAGCTTAATCACGTGACTAAAAGTTTAATATGAACCATAAAATAATAAATACAAGAAGTGTCAAGTCAATGTTAAATTATGGAAACAGCGTGGCTGCCTGGGTAACTAATTTTCAGATATGGCGGCTGGGACATTTGACATGACTATGACATGACATAGACATGACAATTTCAATTTTATGAAATTTATTTCCGTTTCCGGTTTTTAATGGCGGGCTGTTCGGGAGGTTTAAATGAGGGTTAATATACTTTTTTACTCTTTCTAGTAGTAAATAATACAACAAAATTACTCAAAAATATTTATTTGGAATTTAGAACAATGTAAATATGCAAATCAACACAATTAAAGAGCTATAAACCAATAAACTACTGTATCAATATTAAATATTTAAATAATATCAGAGATGCTGTGTTAAAGCGAATTAGTAAAGTAACAGTGCATTGACTTACAGAAACTTGAAGATAAATAAATGTTTTCACAGCTTCACGGATAAATAACTGGAAGCAGGAAAAAGGCAACCGGAACCCACACAAAACCTGGAATCAAAAAAAATATGTAAAAAATATAAATATAGGTACCTACATAAGACTTTTGTGAATTAAATCAAACAGGACTTGAATGAAAATAAAATGAATAAAAAATATGATACATATACATCTAATACCTCATTTGTATTTTAAAAATAATCTACATACATAGATTTATAGCATTATTGCTATGAAAATACATAATAGGTACCTATGTGATATGTAATTACGCATTTCTGTTCATCTTGTAGAAATTTAACGTAGGCTAATAATAGTTCAATAATCATAATTTACCTTGTATAACTTGCTTTCAATTGCTCAAAATCACCGATCAGTCTTTAAAGTAGAGATACGGAAAAATCCTTGAAAGAATATCCCAAGATCCTTGGGTTTAAAGCTAAAAAAATATAAAAACAGTTAATATATTACCTATTTTTACCTATAATATGGCCCATACCTGCTACACGCCGAAACGTCGATTTCATCATTTTCTTCATGTAATTAATATCATATATACTTTATTAAAGTGTTAACAAGGAACTTTATATCAAAAAACATCTTTGTACTTATAAATTTCAGCCGAAATATCAGAAACAAACTTCCAATCAAATCTAAACGGCAAAAATTAAAATGGCGCCCGACCTTGCCAGAGGCCTCGAGGCTCACACTGACACACAGACAAAAGACAAAAGAACAGGACGCCGACGTGCATAAAAATGTTCCGTAGCAGAAATTGACAGAAATCATATAGAAATATTCAGATTTTTGTCTAGGACAGTCTAGAAGGCCATGCTTTCTGCCTGGGTAGAACCGCGCCACAACTGTTTCCAATTTTCCGGTTTACTGTCACCCCCCTGATATGAACTATAGACGCCTTAAAACTGTTGTCAATTTTTTTTCTAACGTCACAAAAGTATTAATTTTTGCAACGTGATTGACAATATAAAAAAGTAATTTTACCGCCTAAGCACAAAAGTACGAAAATATAGGTACTATTAAATTGACATAAAGTGTCAAATTCAACGATTCATTCTCGATATACCTATAATTACATACAAGGTATTACTTTTAAATATTTTTATATTATTTGGAACGTTTGAATTTGTTTAAAAAAATATTTGTGGCGTTTAAAAAAAATAGCATGTTCTATTCGGAGTAAATATGGCTTTTTGCGCCTCGCCTGTAATGTTTCAAATGTCTCTTTGGTCTGAGGTGGTCTAAGACCAAACGTACCGCCTCGCCACAAAAAGTGTTATTTTTACTCCTAATAAAACAATATATTATTGTAC